TTGTAGATGGGGAGGGGAGGAGGGGGTGAAGGGAGGGCAGGGACAAGGGGAAAAAATGAGAACCAAGATTTGTCATGTAGAGGTACAAATTCCCAACAATGAATGTAACTGTACTGTATCCCTAAAATGTACCAATAAACTCAATTAAAGCTGCAAAAAAATAGCATACATATAAAACTTTGCTTAATACATACTGAGAAATTATACACCTAAATAAAAACAGTAATTATTTACTTATACAATTAATATTAGGTTTAACTGATCTTTTAATCTTTAAAAATTTAATAAGCAAAAGGTTATATATAATTATTACAGGAATATTGTTGACCATTATACATTTAAAATTTTGGGAGGGGGGACCGGGTCTTGCTATGTAGTCCAGCCTTGAGCTCTGAGTGATCCTCCTGCCTCGGCCTTCCAAGGGCTGAGATTATAGGAATGTACCACCATACCCAGCTACATTAATTTTTGTTTCTCTTTCATATATACTGCCTATTTGTATCACATGTTAATTTTTATGAAGTTGTTAGGGATTGTTTGCTGATTTTTTTAAAAATGTTATTTGTATACTGAGAAAATTAGCTCTTTGATAGGGTGCTATAAATAACTTTTCTCGGTTTTGTGAAGTAAGGAAACACTGAATCAGAGTATTTTCTTACCAAGATATACCTTTTAAAATGTTCACTCATTCATCTCCATTTGTATTTATATATTTACCTTCTTGAAGTTATAAAATTTCGGTTTTTCACACTTTGTGAAACCCATTATGATGAATGATTCCAATGTAACCATTATCTCCTTATAAACAGAGGTTTCCCTTTCTCAACTCAGCAGCCTTTTTTTAATAATCAGAATCCCACTTCAGAGCTCTAAGACCAGACTTAACTTACAAAACCATGCCATCCTGTCCAATTGTATTCCCTGCCTGAGCTATAGTTTCTCTTCTTGTAAAATGCACAGTAACTATCACTACCTTAAACCACTTTCCCCACATTAAATTAAATGAGATGATGTAGACAAATTAACAGACTCATGCTTAGCACAAACAGTACTCAACAATATTGTCTTCAACTTGTCTTACTTCCGCCAAATGCCTAAAAAGAGCTGAATAAATCATGATGACATCTTTGCTGCCCTACTCATGAGCATTTCTATGAATTAAGTATTTGTCTCACACTGTAGAAGAAGTAATTCCTAAACTACCTCTCACCTTCTCATAACTCCAGGCAGACAGATAGGCTCTTTATTCACACTGGAACTGCGCTGCCGGATCCAGCTGTTGTCATTGTGAAGGGATGTCCTCTTCCTCATCTCCTGAAGGATTTGCTGTCTCTCCAACTCTGCTCCTGAGGGGCCTTGATCTTTCTTGGAGCTCCTCTGTGAAAAGGTAGTGCTTTCTATTCTGTCTAAGTATTTGTTGCTTCCTAAATTAAAAACATATCAAAAGCTTCAGAATTAGTAGACAAGAAATAATAATGGGGAACAAACTTCCAAAGATAGGGCAGCCTAAAATGTGGCGTTATGCACACAAGCTAACATTACCACCTTCCAAAGAGGGGGCTGCATGAGAAGAGACATTTTCTCCTCCTACTGCTGGAAATTTCAGCTTCACACCCAGAGGCAGACTACAGAGCACTCAGGAAGATCACAGCGGCAGCCCAACAGAAGAAAATCAGTATGGGTTTTGGATAACTGGCTGTTGCTAATCTTGCTATATTTCTTTCCATCTTCTTTTCCTTCTTAAATTAATCAGGCACGTACTCCCCGAATGCTTGCTGGGACAACTCTACAAGAAAATAGGGAGCTTTCTTTTTAAAAACTTACACTCCCCCTGGGGAGAGAGAGATGGCCTGTTTGTGCCATAAGTCACATACTAAGTCAGATTCAAGCTGTAGGAAAGTGGGAGCTTAGTATGTGTGAGCATATTCGATTACTGAAATGGCTTTTGAGAACAGGAAAAACATCCACATAATCCAAAGGATAGTCCATGGATGTTACCATACTTGTTTCTGCTGTAAGAAACTTGCAGAACTATAATTTGGATGCTGAACTTATCCCAAGGGCTTTGTTTCTTGAATTTGTTGACTAATTTCTGATTTGGGTAAAATGACTACAACTTTGAAGTATCATCCATATCCATGCCTTAAAGTGGATTAGGAAAGTTTATCTAACGATCCTGCTACTGTTCTTTCAGAATTCATGATTTATCCAGTCCAATCTTCCAGGAGGCAATGAACAGGGCCACCAAAGATTTCTTAAACAGACTGTATTTAGCATAGCTTATCAATTTAGCTCAATATTAAATGAAATATTTTCTACTTTTAAATACTTTATTGACATAACCAAGTCATTTCCTCAAACATTTAATAATTTCCACCACCTATTATTTAGAAATTTGTAGTTCATTAATAAAAGAAACCACACATGCACATAATAACCAGATTAGACACAAACCAGAACCATAACAAGATTATTTCAGAGACTCACTTGCTGTTTTAACAGGCCATGTGTTTAACTTAGGTGAGATACAATCACTACATGTTAAAAGTATTTAATGGAAGACTGAAGCACTTAAACCATAATTTCAATAGTGGCAAGGGGAAAATTCAGGGAATAAGAAATGGAAAATTCAAATAGGGGCAAAAGTCCAAAGACCAGAGAAATGACTGATAAATTGGGAACTAAGAAAGAAGAAAATGTGATTACAGTTAAGACTTCCTTGAGGGAAAAAATGGAGAACAAAAAGACTGAAAAGTTATATTAGGACCAAGATAATAGAAGATCCTACTTGTTCAAGGCAAGAAGCAGTGAAAAAAAACCATAAATCCTACTGGAAAGTGTAAATTCTATAAGCTTCAACGAGAGGTCCAACCAGTTGCCATCAGACCATTGTAGCCAACAGACATGTTCTTTTTGTTCACAGAGGATTTTAAATATTTTAAAATTCCTTGCCAGCAATTTAAAGAAAACACACAGAAATATAGATTTTGCTTCCTTACTTTTTTACTTGTCTTTTAAAACTACAGAAGTAGATGGCTATCAGAGGTTTGCATTCTCCCAGTCAGTGATTAGCTTGCTCTGGGGAAAGCCTATCCACCTCAAAGCCTACCTGGACCTGCATTCACTTATATAACTGACCATCAGCGCCCCCAACCCGCCACTATATGAACCCTTAAATTATACTGCTTAGAGACTTTTTTCTTAGTTATGTAATTTTATTACACAAATTCATCATAAACATAACTACTAACAGTATCAGCTTCCAAACTGTTTTGAGGAAGTTAGTTTTTGACATTTTGGCATTTAAATGAACCACTTCAAATTTGTAGGTAATTTTAAGTCCCGTCATACATTACAGAAATATCTGCTGTCCCATTTCTTTGCAAGATGAAATCTACTATACAAAACTGTGTCAACATCACTTTCTGAACTTCCCACATAGTCCATTAGCTATTTAAAAACCATTTGAATCAGCTGGTACTCTTTCCATTATGGATAAAGCCAAAATAAACATAAGATAGTTGTTTTATTATAGACTAAAAATACTATTTTAATGTTAATTAATCTGAAATATCTTGCCCTTGAAAATACTTATCATAGTATATGACCATACAAATAAGCAACTGTGCTGAAGAAATTTGTAAAAAGTCACATTTACCATTTTTATTTGTGGGGTAATCATTCAGTTCAGTAGTAGATCTGGATTTAGTCCTAAAACGTAAAACAAAATATATTAAGTATATCTCAAGAAGGAAATCTAGTTCATATTTATGAAACAAAAACACCAAAAAGATAATTTTAAGGCATTTATTTTCTGTGTCTATTGAGAGCTATATTTATTTTTAAACCAAATAATTTCTCATATCACACAAACTGTTAGAAAACAGAGGTGAGATGCTAGAAATAGAAATGTGACAACAGCACTCCATCATCTGTAATAATTAAGACTATAAGTTTCTGTCAGTGCTCGCTCTGTTTCAGATCTCAATTTTATCCAGGCGTACAAAGAATCTGCCATCAGGTCACCCAAAGGCAGACTGAGCTGCTCCCTCCACACATGAAACTCCCCCGCCCAGCATCAGGATGTCGAATTCTTGGGTATTAAGGCACCACTGATCACTCTAGAACAGCAATTTCTTAAGTGCTATCCTTGTATTGCAAACAGGTATTAAAGCATACTGCACAATAAACTTCTGAAAATGCCTAACTTTAGGTCTATAAATCAACACATGCTGATCTCATTCTCAGTCAACTAGACTTAACTGAGTTTCAAAAAAAGTAGCAATAATATATATATATATATACACACACAATGCAATAATCTATAATGTAGTGATGTACCAGAACTAGCAACAAAGCATTGTGAATAATTTTACTTAAGAAAAAACACATTTATTATCTGATCTCTGGCTATACTCCTCAGTGCCTCTAGGCATACTTTAATGGCACTACCTAGTGGTATTTATTTTCCAGAATTCCTTAAATTTCCTTTAACCTGCACTTTATTTATTTAGTTGGATAAAGATTTTTAAACATAAATTCATAGCTTTAAAGGATAAGCATCTTACTGATCTATAGTTACTCAGAGATGTTTATTATAAATAAGGTCAACTATCACTAGGTATTTTTTCCTACATCTTGTCAACCCATTCCCACCCAGTTAATCCTTTCCTTTCCCCTATCTACTCTTATACCTTCACAGTCATCTTGATTGCTTATGGTACAATTCTTTCTTTATATCTATTCAATGAGACAAAACTTCCTAAACGAAGAATTTCATCTTTGTAAACACAGGCTAGTGGTTCTACACTGGATATTTATAAGCTAATGCTGTTTAAAAGTCCTAAGTAACTGAAAAACTTCAAAGCATTTTAATTATCTAAAACATTAAAAGTTTTTGATATCTGAAATCTTACTATCATTCCCCCACACTGACCAGTGGTTCTAATCAAACTAAGAGCAAGAGAAAGGTCATAATTCTCATTTCAGACACCTTTACATATATAACTATTTTTAAATAAGCTATTGCTCACAATGGATTACAAAAAAAAATGGTCACAATTTTTCCCTTTTCTGTGTCCATTTTTCTTGCTATGTGTCTCTTCTTACAAAGAGGTGGAGTTTTTCTCTTCTCCAAAAAACTTGAGCCAGTCTTGTGACTTTATTTTGGACAGTAACTTAGACCTCTAGTGCCTTCCAGGTTTCCTCTTTTCAACCTTCTTTCCTACCCAAGCACCATGTACGTAAGCCCTCACCTGCTTGCTAGATGCCAAAAGACCCATGACCCAGTTCAGGTGCTGTCGTTGCACACACCCCCCACCCCACCCCACACTACCCAGCCAATCCCCAAAGGCAGAGCTGACTAGTTAACTGTCTAGTTAACAGGTGTGTATGAGCCCATACAACTAAATAAAAGAACTGCCAAGTGAGCTCAACCCAGAAAGCTGATCAAGAAAAGCATGAGCCAGGGTCAGGGATTTAATTTAGCTCAGTGGTGCTGCACCTGCCTTGCAAGCAAGCACAAGGTCCTGAGTTTGATCCCCAGTACCACAAAAAAATGAAAGGAAAGAAAGAAAGAAGGAAAGGAGGAAGAGCATAAGCTAAGCCACTAAGTTTAGAAGTAACTGTTTGCCAGCAAAAGCTGGCCAATACAATGATCAACTAGCAGGTTCTCTGTATCCCATAAATGACAAAGGGCTAAAGAACCTCTTTAGGTCATCAAGGAAAGTCTGGGAACATTCACTTAAAGTCAATTATTATCAATCAATAAAAAGAAATGTTCTATATACCTATCAGTAGGAAGCAAACCTGAAGATTCTTCTTCCTCTTTCTTGGGTATATCATAAGAATCGACAGGCCTGAAAGATGCGGGGGATATGTATAATCAAAATATTAAACTTTAAAATCTTCTCTGATTAAGAAAAGACTACCGAAATAGTGATTTTTGTTTCTTCATGCAAATGCTCTCTCTGGGTTAAAGGCAAATATATCGGAGTATTTCCATCAATCACTGTAGAAAACAGACCTACGACTGCCAACAGGTATTTGTTACTCAGATATGTACAAGTCTATATTGGACACCAACTCCATCCAGTACTGGTCTCAGGCTGTTACAGAAGTAAGCTCATCTTTTGGCCTCACAGCACTTACATTTTACTGGGGCAGGCATACTGACGGAATACATAAAAGTAATATAAAACAGGGTAAGGACATAGAGACAGAAAGCGTAGGGAAGAGGCATGCATTTTAAATAGGGCAATTTAGAAAGTCTGACAGGATGATATGTGAGCAGAGATTTTAATAAAATGAATAATTCTTTTATTTCTTGCAAAAGGAAAACTTTTTTCAGGGAGAGGCAAACACAAAATGCAAAAGTCCAGGGGCAGATTATACTGTATTGACTATTTCACCAAAAAATAAGCAGGCCAGTGTGATTGGAACATGTGAATCAGAGGAAGAGTGGTAAGCACTTAAGAGAAACCAAAGGGTCAACACAGTTGGAACAAGGACTTTGCAAGGTGTTCTAAGGTGGCAAGCATCCACCTGGAGGTAACATGACTGGCTTGGAACGTAAAGGCTCCACTGGACTACCTGCATTCCCTGTGTAGGGCAAGGACAGAGGGGACAGAGACCAGTGAGGTGCCTTGGAAGTGAGCACAATGCAATGAAGCCCAGCCTACTGCAACTCGCTCAGTCCTTGATCTGGGGACAGACCTCCTGTACTGGTATATTTTGACTGAAGTTTCCCTTTCTCTCTCTGCTTGGTGCATCCGTTCCTCAGCCAGGGGCTTCTGTGCTTTAGCTTCAGCCTCACGCTGCCTCTCTTCCTGCTCCTCCTGGGCCTGCTGCTCCCTCAGTTTCTGTTCCTTCTCAAGAATGAGCTGCTCCTGCAGCTTTGGGCTTTGGTCCTCATGAACAGCATCTGCTTCCTGCTGCCTCTTTTCCTCTTCTCCTGCTCGGGTCCCTTCCCTGTCAGATGACTTGGACCCTTCACTCCATGTGGCTTCCCAGGTGGCAAGAGCAGGCTCCCGTGGGCTCATAGAGATGCTGTTGGAGTTCAGGACCATCAGTTCCTAAATGGCCATTAGAAAGAAAAAAAGAAATTCACTCACCCTTTGTCTCTCTAATTTTATATAGAATAAGACCCCATTTTAGATATTAATTGTAGAAGCCCAGAATTCCAATTAAAATATCTTTAAGACTAAAAAAGCCTATGAGTACTGAAATATAAGCTAAAAGAGGAAAAAGCACTTAAGAAATTATGTAACAGTACAACAGAAAAACTAGGAGAAATGCTGACCACCAAAGCAAAATTCCAACAAACAAGAACTCATGATATTTTTTCAAAAAGTAACAGATGCACACGAGGCTATGATCAGAGGGAAAGGAGATCTCTCTTGCTTCTCAGCTTGTTTTACCAGCAAAGAAAAGAGAAGGAAGCAAGCTATAAAGGTCTCTTTCACCTCATCCAAGTACTTGGAATTCTCTCTCTCGGCCTCCTGTCTAGCCCTTTGCCACTCTTCTCTCAGTTTCTCCTGCTCACGCTGGTACTTTTCCTATGAAAAGATATGGCATATTAATCAATCAATATTAACTCTTCAGGCAAACAGAATCTTCTTCATTAGCACTACTGTAACCTAAACCTTCACTTCAACCTTTAAAGAGTGACCTTATTTTCAGTAACCAGATTTTATTCCCTTGAGTAGAAAAGAGCTTGTACTGAACTAAAATGCACACATTATGGAAGCGCAGATTCACGGAATTAGGCTCATCACCACTCTTGGCCAGGGATGTAATTCATTAATGCCTCCAGCTAATGCTAAGAAACGGAGCTGACTTACTCCACAATGGAGCTACAAAGTCCTTACAAAGTATGCACCTCTTACTCCTAAGTATACCCTTTAGATACTGGTTTTCAATAGGGCTAATAGAAGAATGATTCTGAAAATCTTCAAGATGGAAAAGTAATTGTTCAATGTAAAACATGCTGCATACAAAAGCATTTGTTAGTGATGAGAATGCTTTTTAAAATTGGCTGCTCAGGGTAGCAATCTTATTTGCAGACAAAGCAAATTTCAAACCAAAACTGATTCTAGTATTATTGATGTAGGACGGTAGCGTATCATACCTCTGTGAATGTAAAATATCTTGTACCTGCTTTATAATGCATAGTAGTGACCGTGCTTTACCAGAGCTATTTTTAATGATATCACACTAGAATGTTGTCTTTCCAGATGATGATTAAGATGCTAAAAAAAAAAAAAAAAAAAAAATGGTGCCAGGTACCACAACAGCATCAGAACTTTGCTGTTTTCTGGATATTATTCTTTGTTTTTTGTTTTTTTTTTAATGGAATGTGCTGAATGTTTATAATTTTGTTCAGATGACTGCAAAACCTGGAAAAGCTGTTGCTGCTATTGTACATACATATATATAATTTGAATTTTTGGAAACTTTAACTGTGCTGTCAACTTTGGAAAAAGTTATCCCAATTTACTGTGTTGAGTTGGCACTATATAGAAATGGACAACCATATTGGTCTGGAAATGTTAATTTTTTATTTTAATTTTAATTTTTTAATTTTTTTTCCATTTGTACAGGGCTAACGCACTGTATTAAACATGTAAGGTCATATCTACATGGGTTTGATTACAGAAACTAATAAAGTATTCTCTAAATGAAAAAAAAAGAATAAGATAAGACTACAAGAGCAAGAAGCAATTTAAATATGTTCAGGGACCATTTTCATCTTCAGAATTAAGGATTATTTTAATCTTACATCTTTGCCTTTTCTCTTTTACTTTCCTTTTTAGTTTTATTTTAGGATTCCCTATTTTTAATGTTCATACAGAGATTTCTTTAACTGAAATACCGAATAGTTTCTCTGGTGTGAAAACTATAATAGTACACAGGATCCTAATAAGATAATTAATAATGTGAAATAGGAAGTAAAGGGCTAAAGGTGTGGGGAAAGTGGGAAAGATGGGGGAAAGGTAATAAGGGTGAAGAAAAAAATATGAGAAGTTGAGAAAATGGAAATAAAGTGTTTGTAAATGGCGAGGGGAGGAGGGGGTGAAGAGGGCAGGGACAAGGGGAAAAAATGAGAATCAAGACCTATCATGTAAAAGTACAGGATTCCAATAATGAATGTACCTGTATTGCATACCTAGATTGTACCAATAAACTCAATAAAAAGAAAAAAAAATAAAATAAAATAAAATTGGCTGCTCAATACTGTCTGACTAATCCCAGAAAAAAGCAATGAAAGCTAAGCCTCAAGCATATTCACCCAAACCCTCTGGTGCTACCTGCAGCAGACGGTCCTGCTCCTTCTGCCATCTCTCCTGCCGCCTTCTCTCCTCCTCTTGATCCCATGCCCAGCGGCTTGGGGTGCTGAGGGTTGGAACTGGAAGCTAACCAGTTATCAGAGAAAAAGTGCAAACACAGAACATGATTTTATCAAGTTATCTATGGAACCACTTTCACATATATCATTCATCTATCTCACACAGTACTTAACCTATACCAGAGAAGATCTGACTTGATATTTACAAGTAAGTCTTTTTTTCTTCTTCTTCTTCTTCTTCTTCTTCTGTACCAGAGATCAAACTCAGTACCTTGGGCTTGCAAGGCAGGTGTGGCATCACTGAGCTAAGTCCCCGGCCCACAAGTAAGTCTTTTGAGAGCGTGTTTGGAGGTTCTAGCAGGGGAGCATAGCTGCTCATATACCCTTGACTGAGAAAATGTTCCTCCTGGAGGGGAAAGGGGGGTCCTCTTCCCCCAAGAGAGCAAAGTGTACAGTGCACAGTGCAGCTTCAGGTGGGATGCACATGGAGCGGTGAGGAAGGGGACACCGTCTAGCCAGCCAGATCCTTCAAATCAACCCTGGTGATCAGATGTCACAGGCAGATTGCATCCACATGTCTTTTGAACTGGAAGGATTACTACCCAATAAACCCTTACAATTTAAACTAAGCAATACTAGTAGTATACTAATTCAGTCCCACCAAGCTCACCCTATTTATTCCCAACTACAAACAAATACTACTTACATCAGGAACCACAGAATCAGAGCTTCCTGCGTGGTAGCACATACGCAAGGGAGGGAAGAAAAAAATAATGTAAGTCTTCACATTTCTATGCAATGATTCATTTCAGAAAACTGTATCACTCTCTCTATGCCAGTATACTAAGTGACATCGTTTTTTAAAAACAACCAATAAATCCTTTTATCCTTTTATTAATTCCATTTGTTACTCATCTTCAAATTTCAACATGAGTAACAAGGTGGTGGCAAGAAGCGCTGAAGGTACGCCCAGCTCCAGACACCAGAGCTCAATCAATGGAGATTTCTGAAGAGGTTTCAAGATTTTGTTACTGAATTGGGCCCTATCTCATAGTTTGGCTTAACAGAGAAAACAAGACCTTTAAATATTATGTCTATTAAATCCAATGTTTCACTTGCAACTGTCCAAGTACAGTGTTATAGCTGGAAGTCACATCTCTCAGATCCTCTTACTGAAAGAGCTATTTTTCACAAATCTCTCACTAAAACAAACATGCTCAAGAATTATTTTCCTTTCCTCTCCTATTATTTGAAGCACATGTATTCAAGCTTCATGCGAACATCTTCAAGCACAATCTTAAAATTCTTTTTATCTTTAGGAGCCCCATGACATGTGTATGTCTGCACATGCACAGGGATGCACACATACAGTGTAATGATTAAAAAAGTAAATAAGCACAATCTTAAAATTCTTTTTATCTTTAGGAGCCCCATGACATGTGTATGTCTGCACATGCACAGGGATGCACACATACAGTGTAATGATTATAAAAAAGTAAAATTATAGAAAATATATTTTTATACATTTTTAAATATTTTATATATTTTTAAAATTTTCCTGAAACCTCAGTTGCCAAACAAATTATTCACTTATACAGTTTTTTAAAGAAAATCACTTTAAGACTTATAAAAGTGTTCTTTCCTAAAATAGCTTGTAGGTGAAAAGCGAAAGATTATTAAAATAGAGAAAGAAAAGGAATTATTTTAGCCCATATGAGGTAGGAGTTTTAAATTACCTAGTCATAGAAAAGTAGGACTATATTTTAAAAAGTAGAAATCAAACCCACAAAGGATGCTGACACAAATAGTCATGCAAATCTGGTAAGCTATATCTGCTTATGGTCAAAAAGAGACTTTACTCATCTACACTACCAAAGACTAGGTGACTAACACAAAACACACAAACCCAGTAAGTATCACAAATTTTTAGCCTTAAAAGTAAAAAACAACATTTTAGACAACACCAGCCCAGTCTCATTTGGCCGCTGCATCTCAAATGTTGGATATTACTTTTAAGTGTTTCACAGCAAAACTGGGTTTGAACTGCATTCATGAGACAGAGCATTAGACAGATGTGAAAGGGAGGAAATGCCACATGCAACACATGGTGAAGCAGCCCTGCCTGACTACACCAACAGAGAATTGTAAAATGCACCTGTGCTCAGATGCAACCAAAATGTATTAACTTTGCCTTTACTTCAAAGTCAACAGAGCGCCAGAGCATCACTCCTAGGCCACCATCTCAACAGCAGCACATAGCCCTGTTCCTTATTAACAGCATTTTCCACAACCAAAAACAAGTCGGTTTTTAAAAGCCAGCCAACTGTATGTTGGTGTAATCTGATATTATGCAATTTGTAGGGAGCAGGAAGGCTTAAATGACATTCCTTATTTCTTACTGTTACCCAGTGGAAAGACATGTGTGTGTTTAACAGCATCTCAGGTATTTTTACAAAGTTAAAATTTTAAAAACTCTTTAGAGCTATACAAAGGACACACAAAGACCCATTACCACAGCGGTAGACCCATGAACTGTAAAAAAAGCCTGATGACCCTAGGAAAAGAATGGAAATGGGTTACATTGCTTGGTCATAATGACAGCCAAACTGAAAAGGCTCAGTGCCCAGAACCACAGACCACAAGAAGGGTGGAGAGTTGAGAAGGAGTTCATGAAAGTGAATGAATTGTTAGCTTTGTGGTTTACCTTGTTCAAAAAATTGTGATCGCCTTTTTAAGTTTTTCAAAGAAATGGATTCAGATGCTAGTTGAAAAATAAAACAAATAAATACATGTCATTCACCTTAACTTCTTACCACTGGTAAATCAAATGATACTTGGCAAACCTTTTCAATCTGTAGCAAATACTATTTTTAAAATGACAAAACTGACAGCAATAGGAGATATGGATTATTTCAAGGCATCTAGACATACATATTTTAGTAGCTTATATTACATTCAAATTAGTAAAAGGAATGGATACTTTTATTAACAAATTTTAGTTGGCAGCATTATACTGTCACAGCTATGAAAGCCATACGAGTCATGCTAGGCAAATGAAAATTAACTCTCTTTGCTTAATCAATCATCTCTACCAAAGAGTATTCACAGTATTGATGAATAAAAACTGAGAAGTATCAGGGGTAAGGAGCATAGCAAAATAAATACTTAACACAAATGCTAAAATTAAGATATTTTGGGGGGGCATTCTTTGGTTTGTTTTTGTTCTTGTTTTTTGTTTTTGGTGTTTTTTTTTAGTACTGGGGATTGAACTCAGGACCTTTCACTTGCAAGGCAGACGGCAGCACCACTGAGCTAAATCCCTGGCCTAAGAGAGTTTTTAAACTAAACTATTTTTACCTAGTTTCCAAGATTTTGTAGTTGCTAACTTAAATAAAATGGAGTTCAGTCAGAAAGAAAAAGAAAACATTCTGACTTTTCCCACAGATTTGTCACAAAATTATGGCATAAAATGTGAATGCAGGTATTACTTGACACTGGTGGATGCTTACTTTGTCGCAACAAAATCTTCAAATGACAGGGCCTGCATATAGTCCCATTGTCACTAAAGCCTTAGAGGCCTTATCAGTTGGCTGGAAGCCAGATGCCTCAAAGCTACCATCATGAAGAAAAATAAGCAAAGTTTGATTGAAAAAATCCTTCAAATAAACAAAATACAATTAAAAAATAACAATATAGTCACTTTTAACCACTAAAAATGAACTATAAAGACAAATAACAAGGGAAGGAAAACATAAACTTGGGTTGGCTTTGACATGACGTATTATTAACTGGCAGAGTCACCAAAGCATTGTCGAAGTCCAGCCCTGCTCCTGGCAGCCTCGTTTTATGGTAAAAAGAAGTTTGATCTCCTGAATCTCTCTCTGCCTATGTAGGACCAGTTACAGCTTTCCTGCTTTGTTCACCCAAAGAATAACACACTGTGTGCAGCAGCTTAAGTATTTCTGGAGGGGCAGAAGAAGGAAGAGAATGATAACTCCAGCATTTCCCTAAATACTTGGCTTTCTTTGCTCATTACCAATGAGTATAACCACTGACAATAGTTATGGCCACTGGTATTTCTCTATTAAGGTCAGGTTCCAGGCAAGCAGGGTGGTGAACACTTGAAATCTCAGCATCCTGGGAGGCTGCACAGGCGGATCACAAATTTAAGACCAGCCTGGCCCACTTAGAGAGACTGTCTCAAAATCAAAAATTTTAAAAAGGCTGGGGACATCATTCAGCATGAAGGCCCTGAACTCAAACCCCAGTACCAAGAAAAGACCTTCATACAATAAAGGGGAAAGAAACTGCATTCATCATTTTGTATGTAACAAAGATTCCCTCCGCTAGTATACCACTGCCAGAAAGCTGATGGCCTTGGGCAACCTGCTCCTCTTACTTGGCTTAAGCAAACAGGCTCCTAAGCTCTAGAACGCAGTGCCCAAGTTTTGTTTGCAATTCCTGAACTATTCAATGCTGGAACTGAACACACTTCCACCTGACTGAAATTGGATCTGTGTTCTAACCTTTTAGTTTCAACTCGCAGGGGACCAGTTTTTCTTTCACTCACAGATATTAATTTTTATAACAGAAGAATCTGACAGCTTAGACTTTTTCTGTATTACAAATATTAAGAAGTTATAATGGTGATAGTTACCTTTTGATTCAAAATTGTTGCTTTCATCATGAATTCCATTGATTTCTTTGGATTCAGTATACTAGAAAGGATAAAAATGCTAATTAATATTCTCTCCAGTCAGACTTTGAGCTTAAATAATGCATTTCTCATTAATGAAAATATCTGTTAACAAGATAGGTGTTTCAAAGTATTGATCCATTCTTTAGAGCTTTTATATGCAGTAGAAACTTAAAATTTTTTTTCATTATTCTCCAATATTTGTAGAAGAATTAATGAGTAGCTGCAGGCAAGGATGGATGGCCTTCAATTTAATCAGTTATTAATATTCTAAGAAATACAATGGACAAAACAGTCACTTTGGCTTGTGTCTGTGAGTAGGCAATTAGTCATACACAACTTTCTCTTACATTTAAACCTTTTCTATACAACATAGCAAGATGTCTTTATTAAGTAAAAGTTTATTTTGTTCATTTTAAATTATTAACTTAATGAATAATTTTTCACATTTTGATTCTAAACTTGTGTTTGGAGCAAAATTAATCTCTTCTACTATGGCATACCAAAGACAAACTGACGGGAGAAGTTTGCCTCCAGTACAAGCAGTACATTTGAACAGTTTAAAGTATAAATAGAAACCACAGTTTTTCAGAGCCTATATGAAAAAATATTGCTTTAACACATAAAAATTTCTACTTTTTTTTTTTTTTTTTTTTTTTTT